TATATAAATTCTCTAAATTTCCTAAGTCCTTAAACCCTTAAGTTCGTAAAGTCAAGTGAAGTAATTCCAAGGCATTCTGGATACCTGTAGGACGTAAGATTTCCTAAGGTTGTAAAGTCTGATAATAAGGAAGTTACTTACCGCAGCAAAGGAACTTAGATAAATTACGTGAAGAATTCAAAGAAGATTATTCCCAGTGATAATGTATAAATCTTTAGATTTACTAAAGTTTTACTAAGTATTTAATATTGTTAATTGAAATAACTTTCAATTTATTGATTATATTTTGATGGAAATATGATCATTAGAACCATTTCATCAAAGCTTTTTAATAAATATAAGCTCAAGATTATTTGACTAATAGAATTAGAGATAATTTAAGAAGAGTGACTATATTATAATTTTATAGATCATTACTAAATAAAGTCATAATTTCTTAAGCCATAGCCTTATGATTAAAATGATTGAAATTTCAGAAACTATGATAAAATTATTAACTAAATTTATATAGTTATTAATTTTAATTAGTTTTTTTTGTTTACTTAGTTAAATTAGTTAATGTAATTAACAAAATTAATGAAGTTTATAATATTTTTTTTAGTTTTTATAGTTTTATTTTATCTTTAATTAGTAATAGAAGTAGATCAAATATTTTATATAAATAAAATAGAAAAATTGCTATAGAAGAAAGATAGATTCAATTTAGTTTTAGCTAGTAAGTTAATTGATAAATCAGTTATTAAAGAATTAATTGTGAAATTCATATTCATAAATAAGAGCTTATTTGTTTATTGAATTGTATTAATCCACTTATATTTTATTAATAAACAAAACTTTATCCCTATAATATTAATCTATTAAACTTATAACCTAAAATCCAATCTATCATTATTACTTTTCTTACATATTTGAAGTATTCTGATGTATTCCAATTTATATTTATTATAATCCAAATGATTTTTAAAGAAACAAAAAATTGTGAAACAGTAAATAATCTACAATATAATTAACATAAATCACAAAATTTATCTATAATACAATAATTTGCATAGGTGATCTATAAAATTATTCAAATTAATTAATGAGAAGATGAAGTAATAAATCATAGCCTGTGATAATATGTATAACCTTCTAAACTAAAAACTCCAAAAGAGAACTTTAAAAAGAAACTAGTCAAAAGCTAAGTATTGATAATTAAAAAATAATATTATCATATTTTATATCTCTTTAAATACAAATATATTATAGTTATAGGATAATTGTATAATGATTAGGTAGTTATTATTCAATTATTACAGTAAAATTACAAGAGATTTATTACATAGTTTTTATGCAATAGATAGCAATTTAGTATAGAAATTTTATTATAAATAAGCTAAGTTTTTCATTATGTATCAATAGAAATTTAGGAAGTTAATTTTATAAGTTAATAAAACTTTTTGCTAAATTGTTTTGTGCAAACAAATTACTTTGTATAAATCCACTTTGTATCAACCTTATTTATGTCAACCCTATTTTTGTATCAAATTTACTTTGTATTAATTGTATTTAGCATCATTAACTTTATTTTGAATTAACCAATTGTCTTATATCATTAAACATATGTAAAATTATTAATAAGCTTAAATATTAATATTGTGAAATACTTTAAGTTGCATATCACTAACTTAGTTATAATATATTTATTATAATATTATCAGGGTATTTTTCTAACATCTGAAAAAATTATGAGTCAAATATAGTGAATTAGAAGTTTATATATTTGTTAATTCAAAAACTTAATCATGAAAGAATACCAATATCAACTGAAGTCTAATATAATTAAAGTCTTTCCCAAATCATTATAAATATTGAGTTAAATCTTACTGCTATTCAATTGATTATGTATTTCAGTTTGTTTAATCAAAAGTTGGATAATATTATATATTCTCAACATTCTTTATATTTATAAATTGTTATACTATTAATTCTATAATTTTATTAATACAAATAAGTTTTTAAGATTATTAAGTTAAATTATGTTAAAGTTTATTTTTCAGTCAGTAGACTTTGTAATAAACTTATATAACAATATGTTTTGCTATTTTTATAAACTTTGATATTGTTTTACCTTTTTTGAATTTTACAGATTTTTTAAGATTTTAATATAATTTAAATAAGTTTTATCTTTATTATTTAGATATTTATTTAAACTTAAGATTTTATCTAGCAATTTTATGTGAAAAAAGTATTAAATGGTGTAGTATTTATTAATAGTAAATGCAATAAAGATATTGATGATAAAAGTAGTAAAGGTATTAATAGTAAAGATAGTAAAAATAAAGATAATAGTGATATTGATGGTAAAGGTGATAAAGGTATTGATAATAAAGGTGATAAGGGTATTGGTGATAAAGATAATAAAAGAGTTAATGGTAAAAGAGATATAAATAATAAACAAATCACAAACAATAATTTAATTTGTTGTAGAGATTTTAAAAATAAAATACATATTTTAAATATTCTTTTTTTATTGGAAATTAGCATTATTTAAAAAGTTATTTGATTTAATTAATTTTAAAACTATTTGAAATAGTCTGCAAATTGTATTACAAAGGTTAGCAATTTGTGTAAAAGAGAAATCAATACATTTACTAATATGAGGAAAAAAGTATTAACAGATATATTCAGCAGATTGATCTATTATAGGCTAACACTATTCAAACTACTTTAACATATTAGATATAGTTTTAATTTTTTTTATTAGCATTTTTTGATTCTTATTATATTACAAATAAATGGTATAATAATAATGACTTTGTAATAAAAAAATATTTATTGATATTTTTAGTATTTTATTTATTTTACTGATAAATTCTTTTTTTACAAAATTTTTAAAATAGCAATTTATTATAAAATTATTATTCTATTCTAATTATTATTTTATTATTCTATCTATTTGTTATTTTTATATATTTTTCTATTAATATTCTATTTTTAATATTATTAAATAAACTTACTGTAAATTTGATAATTTACTGATTTTTTTGCATTCCTATTTAATTATATATAGTGAACTCTTGATATTACAAATTCTAGGATTTGGATATTAACTTTGTTATAAGCTTATAACGAATTTTATAAAGAATTTAATTGGCTAGTTCACTATAGTAAGGTAATTTTATTATATGGGTTGTGAGCTAGGAAAATGAGGTTCTGGGACATTTTAACCAAAGTTAAAATTTTTACTTTATATTAATGT